AAGTTGCTACTAGTTCCCCCTGTAATGATCATGGGAAATAATTGATTTTTTTTTAAATTTCCTTAAGGCAGATAGAGTTTATTAGAGTCAGCATAATAACAATAGTTTAAATCTTATTGTATGATTTAGTATAAGTTTTATACATTTATGATAGTTCTATGATCTATACATTCATTATATGCTTCATATTATGAGATTGACACTTTCTTCCACATCACGGCTGCTAAGAAGTTTGGGCGTTTCTTGAAGAACTTGCATCTTCTGTTCATTTTTCCAATAAAATATTTACTTTTAGTTTGAACAGAGAGGAAATACCCTTAAGTGTAGGAGTCAGGTGAATTTCTTACAGGCATTCTGTCATTGAAATGAGAGATTTATGGAATTCTTAGACACTACTCTGGGTCAAGCAGCCTTGCAGACTATCTATGTTAGTATAAAAATAATGAAGCACTGCCAGCACTCATAAAAGGCAATTTGTCACATCATATCTTTCCCTGTGTGGTAAAATGCTACAACACATTTCACTTGGCAAACTTTTGGAGAGAATGCAAGCCCAGAGTCTCAATCTGGACATGCACCATCTTTCCAATACCACAGTGTACAAGTCATGATAATCTCAGTTTACATTTAGCATATCCTTGTGGAGGAGAATAATGTTGTTCATGGTGCACATTAAATGGACTGCCAAGTGCTCCACAGACAACTGAACTGTGTAGCAGATTGGCAATTCAAATATTGCCCCATTACAGTTCAAAAATAAAAAGTATAGGGGATATTGTTAAGTGAACTCAGAGCTGAAGCTCCATTTCATGATTCTTAATTACATTTGTTTACAGTTCCTGTAAGAGCCCACCAGGCTGGGAAGCTGAATCAGAGAGCAAAGGCTGGAATTTTGCCCCTTTAAAGGCGTGCTGGGTACCACCAGCTGGCACACAACTCGCTGGGTTTGAGGCCCAGTGTGATCACTGTTAAGATCCTGCAGCTGGCCCAGAGGGCCAGCTGGCATTCAGCAGTGTCCAGCTCCTGGCTGTCAGTGCTGTCAGTGCTGCAGCTTTCAGATCCAGAGCAGATCTTCAAGAGCACTGATGCAGAGAGCTTACATCCAGAGAATGGAATCCAGAATGGACAGAGCGGCGCAGGAATGTTTTCCAAGTCTCATCTATTATTTACCCTTCAAGATATTTTCTAGCATTAAGGGTTACATATTATCTGTCTCTTGCATGACTCATTAACACTTTCCTTCTAAAACACAGCCCCCAGAGGAGACAGTGATGGGTGGTGCCAGTGGTGGTGTGTTTAGGTTTGTCTCTGAGAAGTGCCTCCTCCTCAAGAAGGGGCTCAAAAATACATTTCAGAGCTAGACATTTCTCTGTGCCTTCCCATCCTGGACTTCTGGTTATAAATTCCCAAGTCTAGTGCTAAATGTAGTGCTGTCAGGGTGAGGAAGATGTGCTCTCTGAGCACAGGGGTGGCACCAGGCCCACCAAAATTAAATACATGAAGTGAGCCCAGCCACAAAACTCATGCTCCTGTATATACACAGTTGCAGGATGCTGTGTGCATCTATAGTTACCAGTGAACACTTCAGCATTTAAACATCCCTGAAATCATGCCTTTGATATAGGTAACAAATTAGTGAGGTGACTGATTGATTGCCTTTTGAGCTTTTGACCCAAAGATGCAACATAATGCTTTTGGAGGTGTGAGAAGGAATGAGTTCAAGTCTTCCACCTCTCAGTCTATTCAAATCTTGTCATTAAATCATCTTTTCCTCAACCAAGAAATAGGAGTCAGGTGCTCTGGTATCTTTTCTGCTGGGGTTTCAAACCTGCTACTATTATGTTGAGTTTTTGCATTTGTAGTAAAGCTGGGTACTACTATTCCCTCAAAGAAAATTTATTTTTACCTTAAAATGAAAATTACTGGTTAGTTGGTTGGTTTGTTGGTTGGGGTTTTATTGTTTGGTTTGTTGGGGGCTTTTTTAATGTTTTTGTTTGTTTGTTTGTTTGTTTGTTTTTCCCTCCAGACTTTGGCTAGTTTTGTAGAGCTTGGGTAATTACAATCACGAGAGGTCAGAGGTGAGGAGAGATGGAATTTTTTTTATTTAGCAAATTACTGTTTGGAAAAGTTAATAGAACAGAGAGTATAAAAGTATTAATTGATGCAGTATTAATTGATTTCAGGAAGAAGCAAAAGCCTGGAGAAGGATTTTTGTGGCTCCAGTCAAGTATCTGTTCTCAATGACCACTCACCTGAAGTAGTGTGTGGAATAATGTATTCAATTCTGTGTCAGGGTAAATTGAGCAACACAGCATCCAAAGAAAATGTTCTGGATGGCTTGGCTTTTAGATCAGACTACATGTATCATGTATCAAGAAGACAAAAGGAACTAAAAGGGTTTGGGTTTAGGTTTTTGTTTTGTTTTGGAGTTTTTGCAGTGGTATGGAAATATAACTAGGAAACTAAGAAATAACTTTCTGGAATAGTCTTTCCAAGGAAAGAGATTCCTTAGCCCCATGAGCAATTATGATAAAAAGCGAAGATTATGTGCAATGGCAGCATTCCCCCACTGGTGATAACCATAGGGTAAAAGGGGTACCTTTGTTCCATTCTCAAACTCCTGGCCCTGGAAAAGTGGGAAGCTTACATTTGGATTGTTGGCATTGCAGACAACAGTCTGATTTCTGTTGCAAGAGGGAGGAAAGGAGAGAAAGAACAGTATTCACTTTCTCCTTCCTGATTAGAAAGGTCAACAATGAAATGGGGAGTTGGATGCTGGAATGGTTATGTTTGGGATTCTCTTCCTCCCAAATAAATACAAAAAATGACCTGGAGCTCACAAGGGCAACAACATGAGGGAACCCTGATTTTCTAGTACTTGATGTAACAATGAAGCGCTGCTTTTGGCTTTGTCAAAACTTTGATAGAAAAACCCTGAGCAACTGAAGCTGCTGTTTAGACTTTCCCAGTATGAAAGGAAGATGCAGAGCCTCCAGCTTGCCACAGGCATCACCTAATTCAGTGTTTAAATATGTGCAGTAAAGAAAGGCTGCTTTCAATGCATTGCAATGAAGTGTCTGCAGATAAGAAAAAGACTGGGAGTGAAGTTAAGCTGTTGCTTGTGATTGCTGGTTTTGTCAGCAGGAAGAAACAGAAGTAACTTCTCTCTGAAATCATCCAAACTGTCCCCGATTCTTTCTGTGCCTTTTGCAAGGGCAGCCATATAAGGCAGACCAAAGGGAGGGCCCCTGCGTTGCTCAGGGTGGGACTTGGGGAGCTGTGGGCAGAGGCGGGTAGCAGCTCCTCTCCTGCGCCTCCCCAGGGACTCCGCGGTGTGCAGCAGCCGCCAGGAGAAGGGTACGCCTGGAGAAAGTAGGTGCTGTTTGCCAACTGCTTTCAGCTTTTTCTGTGCTGTGCCTGTGGGATGCCATGTGTGGATGGAGCAGCCCAGGAAAGGTGTTCAAGGCAGCTCTGCTTGCAGCTCTGCATAGCCAGCCTTGTCCGGGCAGCCTCAGCACCCCAAAGTGAACGGATGTTCTTAGAGGCGCTTCTCAGGGACCTGCTGCGGGCTGGCTGGGATGAAGGGCTTTGTGCTTTAATGTTTGCACCCTCCAGCTGTTTATTAAGAGAACTGCTGAGGGAAGTGATGTATTTCTCGCTTTGCACTAGGACTGATGTAGAAATGTGAACTGATGCTCACCTTTCCATGAGCAGTGTTAAGAAATGAGCCCTGTGTAGGAAAGTCATGTTAAAATGTATAGATGTAAATACTTTGTGGAATAACCTGGAGGGCTCTGTTCAGATGTACTGCACTGGCAGTTCATACACTACACATGAGAAGCTTTAAGCAACAGCAAAAAATAGGCTTAGTTTTAAAAAGGGGACTGTGTGTGAAGGCTGAAATTGTCTCTCTATTCTACTGAGGCTAAAGTAACTCCGAATGTGGGGTGTAAGAAAAAAGGCAGTTCAAAGAAAGACATCCACTCTCAGTCTTACAAAATTATTAATATTGCTGCTAAGAAATTGCTGCTCTGTATTAGCAGCAATTTAATTCTGCTTCATGAAATACTTATTGATTTAGAAGAACCCCATTGTCTTTTCTATTTTGTCTAGGTACTTGTTTGAGAATAGCAAAATTAGTTGCAAACATGAAAGGGGTTGAAGAAAATTGAGGATCATGCCAGGAGTCTTTGATCTTTCCCCTTGTAGCAATATTAACCTCCCAGTATCAGTTATCATTAGTGGCATCCTCCTTTTTACACTTGAGAAAAGTTGTTCCAGAGTACTGTGAACTGCAAGATCGGATCCTGTGAGGTGACTGAAATTATTTATTTAAGTCTTAAATTCTTCCTGTAATATTGATGCTCTAGATAAGTTCTCCTGAGGTGTAGGTGTTGAAGTTGAAAGCCTCATTCAGTTGTGTTTTGGGCAACACTTCATTTCTAATCAGAGCACTTCAAGAACTGCTCAGTTTAAAGTAATCTGGTAGGATCTGCTCTCTCTGCTGCTGCACAAGTGTTGCACTGTTTAAATAATTCTATGCTTTCTTCTTAACAGTGTAGTTTTGAAATTAATTTTCTTTCCTTCCTCCAGAAGTCTTAACCTCTTTTCCAGACTCCTATTCCCTCTGTTGTTACTGTCTCATAGGTTTTTCTGACTTAATTTCAGAGGATGTGAGTGACAGCAGGTGACAGGCTGGCAGCTCGCACTGGTGTCACAGAGAAGTTCCATGATAACAGCACAAAGTCATCTTACCAGCTGCTGGAGAACCTTGGACACGGAAGACATACAATCCCTACTTCATGATTTTAAATATTGATCAGAGACAGAAATACCTGGGTGTTGTTGCAGGATGTCCTGTGGTGGTGCAGAAACTGCTGCGTACTCAGTGTGTAACCACCGTGGGCAGGATCAAGTCTCCACTCTTCAGCTGAGCACTCTGAGTGGAAATAGCAAGTCTGCATGCAGTGTTGTTGGAAGTCAGGAGGTACCTCAACACCATGCAGTATTCTCCTGTGGCAGTGAATCCCTCCATGGATAAGGGACCTGGGATTCCCCAGAGCCCTGGGGAAGGCACAAAGGCTGCAGCCTGCTCAGACAGTGGAGCCAGCAGGGCCCGGAGCACGGAGTGCTTCCAGAGCCAATATCTGACCAAAACCAGCACCCAGGGACAGGTTTACAGCTTCCTGGAGAGGCCTAGTGGGTGGAAGTGTTTCCCCTATCATTTTGATGTGTAAGTACTGACATTTTCACGTGATATTTGGTGTAAGAAAAATCTGAAACTGCCCATTTAATCAGCCAGGAATCAGTACTCAGTCTCCTCTGCTCAAAATCTGTTCCATGAGTAATCTTCTCAAGGCAGTGGAAAAGACTCAGAAGAATCAGCCACTATATGCATGATCATTTCCAGAGAAGGCTTTTTATTCTTCAAACGATCTTTGTTTTCAAGGATGTGCATGTATATTTGGTATTTCCGAAGGCAGGTCCTCTCTGCTCCTGGCAGTTCTGATTGCTGCTTTACACTGTTCCAGCTTCAGACACTGCAGTTTTTACCAGGAGATGTGGCAAGTCCAGCTGTGATCGGATACATTCTGCTCTTTCGAGTTTGTTTTGCTCATGTTAAAAAGCCAAAACAAGTAATTTGTTAGACAAACATATAACATTACTAATTTGAATTGATTTATAGTCGTGAACATGAAATGAGTACAAACTTAGCTAAATGTTTTTCATTATACAGTGTATGTAGTACATGCAAGGAGGCAATTAAGGCTTCCATTTACCCTTGTAAAGCTGTGGTTGATATATTAATCCAGCTGTTACTGTTTTCTTTGGTTGCTTATGGTATCTGTCAAACTTAGCAAAACCTCAATTACTGTTCTGACTGCTGCTTGACAGAAGATAATTTGTCATCTTAGCTGTAGAAAAGGTCCAGTTGTGCTCTCACTGAGAGCAGAGCAAGTTTTACTGGCCAGCTGGGCCAAAAGGCTTTGCTTTTATTATAAAATTAGCATATTTTCTAAAGAAATGCAGTGTTGAAATGACCCTGTTTGTCTGAGATCGACTATGGCCTGACTGCATTTTGGGAAAAAACCCATTATGCAGTCAGGAACTGCCCAGAGAAATATATGGTAATTCTAGGGATGAACCCTAATGCTTCTATTTAGAATAAAATAGATAGTCACATTAATACTTGCTTCCTTTCCCCCCTCAACCTCATATACGTATTTTTGAAAGGATTTTTTGAGTAATGAAATTTCTCTAAGCAAAAAGATAAAGCCTCTTCCAAGGACTATACTTATAGAATGCTTTATTCCTAAGGACTAAAAAGATGTGATTTGTATAGATTTAAATATTTGAATGTCATGATTTAAGCTTATTTGAGACTACTAATCTTGCTAAAATTCATTCATCATCTGTGTTGCTTTTATCCCCAGCTGAGGTTGACCTTGAATATGCACTTTTTAATTCTGAAATGGGCATGAAAATAAAATAAAAAAAAATCTGTACGCCCACTCAGTACTAGAAAATTGGAGAAAATACTGGTAATATCAACAGCAACTGTTTTCTTAAGGATTCCTACCATTTACATGAAAGAATATGCAAATTGAGTGCTCTTAAAAGTTATTTGTCTTTGAGACTTCTAGAAAGGAAACATTTGAAACAGCTTTTGGCAAGCATTTTGTCTCAAGTATGTTTTTGCTAATAATTATCCCAGTAACTACATGATGTGTTCATTTAAATAACAATTTTCTATTTTGGAAAGACTATGCCTTATACAATTATCTATCATTACAGCAAAACATTGTTAAAAAATAAACTACTAATCTAAAATACACTTAATTTTACAATTGAAACAACCTGTAATTTATTTTTAAACAGCTTCCCATATTTTATGTATGGGTTTGGAGGTAACTTAAGTACAGCTGATTGATGCTGATGATTATGACTATTTTCCTAACAAATCCAAACTTTCAAGTACATGGCTGATATTTGTGTAGCCTGGAGGAGCTGGATGTGCTCTGTCCCTTCTGTCCTTCATGTGCTACAAAAATTACACAACTCATGTACAAACTTGGGGAACTTTCTGTCCAAGAGGGACTGGAGTTTATTCTGATCTGGTGTCAGTTCCACTAGAAAGAACCTGACTTTCCAAAACCAGGCAAGGTGAAGGAACAGCAAGTGCTCCAGGAGGTGACCTCTTCTCATTCTGAAATTACCAAGATAATCACCAATAACACTTGTAGAAAGTTTCTTTTACAGGAATAAGCTCAGGGTTCTTATGAAACTTTATAAAAGTGATAGAAAATGGAATTATTTTTGCCTAATTAAATCTAGAATTTGAATTATTTTAGTGGAGTTATTGGAGTTTTAGTGAAGGTTGAAATTATAGTTTCAAAACAAAATGTTTGAAGGGGTGAGTGGGTTTACTTGAGAATCCCTCCTGCAGGTCTTGAAAACCTTCTCATTTGGATACTTTTCTGGTTTAGGACTGTGAAATACTTCACTTCCGAAAAACCCAGTAGAGTAGAGGATCTCACTTAGCAAGAGCTGAGGGCTTGAGAAGCAGCTGTTCCATGAGCTGACAATGTATTGATCCAAACCAAGCAATTCCTGTGGCTATGTAAGAGCCCTGGGGTGTTGGAGATCACCTATGTTAGAGCCCACCTATTTCCTGTGAGGTCCTTAGTCCAGAAAAGTCAGCATGTGTCTAGCTAGCTTAATTTCTAGGATTAATTTCTAAACTCAGCTATGCACTTGCTTAAATCACATCGAAATGTCAGGTATTAGGGTTTAAACCCTCATATTTTATCTCTTGAAAGAAAATTACAACACGTATTGGTGATAGTTACTTATAGCAGTGACCTTACTTGGCAAACCTAGACATTTAAATCATTTAATTGCAGGTGGAGTCTTACTTATATGATGGATATATTTCTGAAGCCTACATCTATTTAGTGACTACTGGAATGGCTCCATTGTAGGCTGGAATGTTGTGTCCACCTGGCTGGCTGTCACTTGTCACTGTTCTGTGAGCCATAGAGGCCACTTGTTGTCAGCCCGAGGTGATGTTTGCAGTGCAGGTTCCAGGCAGGAAACCCACGATCTGTAGTATCAGTTACACCCTGCTCACTGCAGTCCAACCCCCTTTTCGTATCTTTTCCATTTCTCTGGAGTATGTAGGGACTGCTGATTTTGGTCTTTTGTGCGCTTTTGCCTGGGTAGATGTATTTTTTCAGTTAAAAAGCCAGAGACTTAGAGGTAACCTGGGTTCCTTTGGACTAAGAAGTGAGGGAGCAGGACACTGAGTGTGGTGAAAGAGGGAGAGAGAAGCACCTGGGACTGAGATGCTGAAGTCCATGTTGGTTTGTGGTGGAAGTGGAGACTGGTGCCAGTGATGCTGAAACTGGAGGAAAACAATACAAGTGCAGAGTAGCTCAAGAGTAAAGAGAATCTGATTTAAGTGGGAGACACAAAGAAAAGAGGAAAAACAGGTTGTAGAGATCAGAAAGTTGGATACAGGCACAAAGGGGACAGCTGAAAATGGACAAGAAGCTCAGAGAGCCACTGGGAGGAAGAGGGGTAGGACATGACAGCTGGGAACTAGGGAAAGCAAGAGTGTGGAATTCATGATGGGACAAGGAACCTTTCCCCTGTAGGCAAATAATTTGAATCCTGTCCAAGTCAGTAGTTCAATAGAAGAGAAGCAGTGATAGTGACAGCTCTGGGGAGATACAAAAGGAGCTGTTGGTCCCAGTCCAGTTCTTAGCAAATGGATGTCACATCACCCCTGGAGTCAGCATAGATGGAAAGGCTGCTGTCAGGCACTGGAGAAACCACAGGCTGGCTGGGAGTGGAGGCAAGTCCAAGGCAAGAGGGAGGTCCAGGACAGGGTCTCTTAACTGTATTCTCAGACCTGCCATTTTCTTGCTTTGTAACACTGCAAAAGCTTAAGTGAGAACTTGCAACTATTCAAGGTCACTTTGTGCTGGTTTGGCCACTTGTTAAATGAGTGTTAGACCTTGCTCTCATTCAAAAGTTAGACCAGCCTTTGTATCCCATAAACTCCTTTGGGATGAGGTGAGCTGATCTAACAGTTCATTGCTAACAAGCCAGCACCAGTTCTGCTCCCTTCATCCACCTCTAGCACTCAGCTTGCTTCTGCCAGCTGTAGTTGTCCTTTGATAGTTAAACTTGGAGTTACAACAGTTCACCTTCTGACACCAGCAGAAGCCTACCCCAGCGGGAAGATCTTCAGTGTGGTTAGTACTGCACATAAAGCGCCTTGAGACACTACCCCACTTATTTTCTCAGTGGATCAAAATCACTTGTTGAATTTCATATAAAATTGTGTGCAATAATTGCAATGTAACATTGCAAATCATCTGGCAAGTACTGCAAAACATTTCATAAAGGCAGAGTTTGGGTAGCCATAAAGTCTGCTCTTCAGGCTGCCTTGAGATTTCTGGGGAAACAGCTCCTCCAAATGGTTCCTTAAAGAGGGTAATGGCTGTTGCTCCAAAATATTCCTGTGGGATGCTGCCTGTCTCTGGGAATTGTACAGACAGGGAAAATATCTTCCCTAGAGTATGGTTTCCCAAGAGCTGGCATGGTGGTTTACCAATGCCAAAAGGTCTTGGTGCCCCTCTGTCACCTTCCCTCCTTCTCTTCTGGACACACATTTCTGCTGCACAACTTGTGTTGCTTCTGGCACTCACTGGAACCATCCTACGCTTCATCAGCTCCCTGTAATGTTAGGAATCTAGATCAGCAGGAAATGAGGAGCTTTTGGGGCCTTAAAGAGTTGCAGCATGTCAGCAAGTGGTCTGATGGGGCTGCAACCAGGGCTAACACAGTTGGCCAAGACGAATGGAATGAGGCAAAGTTCTCTTTCTTTTTTTCTTTTTTTTTTTTTCTTTTTTTTTTTTTTCCCACTAGACATCTGTGGTGTGGTCTCAGTTCTGTATGAAAACATGCCCTAGATTTACTTTGTTACCCCTCTCCTCCTCCAGTTGACTCCCACAGCTCCTTCAAAGAGAAGCATGTGGGCACGCACATGCACAAGCACACACGCACACACACATACCTGTTTCTGGCAGCTTGTTAAAAAAAACTCAACTGGACAGTTACTGCTGAATAATTAAAAGTGCATGATCCTTACAAAAATGTGAACAACATCAAAAACATGGATTTAAAACTTCATGAAGAAAGTACAAAAAGATAAAAAAAACCCAT